AAAGTATGGTTTGAGAGAGCAAAGTTTTTACAAAAGACTGAAGGTGATGTCTATTTATTTATCATTATTTTTTGAGGTGTACTTTTCTCTGTTGCCCATGCTAGAGTGCAATGGCATGATCTTGGCTCGCTGTAACCTCCGCCTCCCAGGTTCAAGCGATTCTCCTGCCTCAGCCTTCTGAGTAGCTGGGACTACAGGCACAATGCCACCATGCCCAGCTAATTTTTGTATTTTTAGTAGAGACAGGACTTCACCATGTTGGCCAGGCTGGTCTCAAACCCCTGACCTCAAGTGATCTGCCAGCTTCAGCCTCCCAAAGTGCTGGGATTACAGGTGTGGGCCACCATGCCCAGCTTCATGTCAACTTTTCACAGTAAATGAAAAATTTACTATGAAAATTTAGTAATCTATTTAGTATTCCTCGTGTCCCAGCTGCCATTTTATTTCTAGAGCCAGATAACCTGTTCAGGTTCCTTAATTCTTTCCAGGGAGTTGGGCTGGCTCATGGGAGTTTCTTAGCTTTTGGTGTAGCAGAAACACTATTTTGAGATGTTGACAGTTTAGTATTTTGAGAAGAAAACTGCATTATAAAAAACAACAAAAGGAACCAATTCTTTTCTTTTTTTTTTTTATGCTATGCAATTACTGAGGAGTGATTTACTTCCAATTATGTAGTTACTTTTAGAGTAGGTGTGATGTGGCACTGATACGAATGTATGTTTTGTGTATTTGAGGTGGAGAGTTCTATATATGTTTGTTAAGTTTACTTGTTTTGGGTCTGAGTTCAAGTCCTGGATATCCTTGTTAATTTTCTGTCTCATTGATCTGTCTAATATTGACAATGTGATGTTAAAGTCTCCCACTATTATTGTGTGGGAGTCTAAGTCTCTTTATAAGTCATTAAGAACTTGTCTTATGTATCTGGGTGCTTGTGTATTGGGTGCATATATATTTAGGATTGTTAGCTCTTCTTGTTGTATTGATCCTTTTACCATTATGTAATGTCTTCTTTGCCTCTTTTGATCTTTGTTGCTTTAAAGTGTATTTGATCAGAGGTGAGAATTGCAACTCCTGCTTTTTATTTATTTATTTATTTATTTATTTATTTATTTTTGCTCTCCATTTGGTTGGTAAATCTTCCTCCATCCCTTTGTTTTGATTCTTTGTGTATCCTTGCATGTGAGATGGGTCTGGATGCAGCATACCAATGGGTTTTGACTTTTTATTCAATTTGCCTGTCTGCGTCTTTTGATTGGGGGATTTAGTAGACTTACATTTAGGATAAATAAAAATATATGTGAGTTTAATACTGCCATTTGATGCTAGCTGGCTGTTTTGCCCATTAGTTGATGTAAATTCTTCATTATGTTGATGCTCTTTACTTTTTGGTATATTTTTGAAAAGGCTGATACTGGGTATTCCTTTCTATGTGTAGTGCCTTCTTTCAGAAGCTCTTGTAAAGCAGGCCTGGTGGTGATGAAATCTCTAAGTACTTGCTTGTTCACAAAAGATTTTATTTTTCCTTCGCTTGTGAAGCTTAGTTTGGCTGGATATGAAATTCTGGGTTGAAAGTTCTTGACATCTTGCTTTTAATATGCCAGCTGTTTTCAGGGGAATAGGGTAGGATGGGGATAAGGAGTACAGTTAGAGAATTCAGTCTTAGAAGACATGTATAAAATAGTGGATGATGGCCCTCTGTCCTCAGGCCTCCCTGTCACCGGCTCAATCACATCTATCTTGCAAAGCCCCATCTAGCAGGAAGCCTGCTTTTCCTTTGGACTGTAGTACTGAATTGCTGTTATAAAGTAACAATGTTTCCTGTGGAAGGAAGACAGTACTTAAAGTAACAAGATATGGGTTCTGTTCTTAGTTCTGATGGCCTGTCAGCCAGGGACCTCTAGGCCAGTAGTTTCATCCTTGAACTCATCCTTTTTTTTTTTTTAGTTGGAGTCTTGCTCTATTGCCCAGGCTGGAGCGCAGTGACATGATCTTGGCTTACTGCAACCTCCGCCTCCTGGGTTCCTGGGATCACAGGTGTCCACCACCACACCTGGCTAATTTTTGTATTTTTAGTAGTGATGGGGTTTCTCCTTGTTGGCCAGGCTGGTTTTCAACTCCTGACCTCAAGTAATCTATCCGCCTCAGCCTCCCAAAGTGCTGGGATTATAGACATGAACCACTGTGCCTGGCCCTCAACCTTGAACTTCAAATTCCCACCCACCTCACTCCCACAGGTATATACCAGTTGTTCCTTTTTCTCTGTTCTTATGCAGGAAATGGCCTGAGGTCCAAAAGTCCCCTAGGTCCCCTTTTTCCTTCACTCTCAACATTCAACTAGTCTTCACATCTACAACTGACAACTGTAACTTCTTTTCTTTACTCCATTATTTCTTAGGCCACAACAGGAGCTTCTATGTGTTCTTTTTTCTAAAAACACTCATCGAGAACTCTAGTGTTTTTCAGTCTTCTTTACTTGAAACCCTTTCCTGGTCCCCATAACCTACTGAAGAAATCCTAAGCTCCGTGGCATGACCTCTATCTACATTTCTCTGATCTCTTCCAGCTCTTTCTCTGTCTCCTAGCCATACTGAACTACTTGCAATTCCCAAACAGGGTACTGGTACTAGTACTCACTGTACTAGATGTTCCTGCAAGACAGGAATGCACATCCCCCCACATTAGCTTAACAAGACAAAAAATGTATTTCCCTCTCATGTAAATGAAGTCCAAAGGTAGACAATTCAAAGTTGGTATGGTGTTCCAGTGTCAGAATCCAAGTTCTTTCTACTTTGTGGCTTTGCTGTTCTCAGCATCTGACTTCCACTTTATGGTCCAAAATGACTGCTCAAGCTCCAGCCATCCACACATCCACATTCCAGCCAGCAGGAAGGAAGAAGGAATAAGGAAAGGCATAACCTTGGCTCTAAGGGTAGTGAGTTCCTGGAAGTCACGCTTGCTTACATACCACTGACCAGAATTAGTCACCCAGCCATTTATCTATAAGAGAGGCTATGAAATTTTTTATGTCAGGGTCTAGGTTGCCATGTGCAAAAGTCAAAACCAGAGGTGCTCAAAAAAGAAAGAGAGAATGGATACTGGGTGACATCTAGCAGTCTCTCCCACACACTCACACAGCCAGGAGTCTGCACTTGGCCCCTTTGTCCTGGACATCCCCTCTCTCACCCTAACAATCTCCTTATTTGGCATGTTCTTTTATGCCCCTCGCCATGCGCTCATTTTATGGCCATTTCCTCATACTACCTCTATTGTTGCACCATCACAGTGTGTTAGTCATTGTTCAATTATCCACCTTTCCCACTACCTTGTGACTTCCTGGAAGGTAGGGACTGTGTCTTACCTTTGGTGTCTTAGTACCCAGTACCGCTGCACAATCTCCAGCCAAGGTGGACCCACTACCAATAATTCTTGTCTTAAAAATATATTGAGGACATGAGAGTATATTCTTCAGGTTCCTAGGAACTTCCTTACATCTGTAGGAAGGTATGGGGGTGGGACTAGCTCAGGGAATATAGAGGCCCGTGGCAGATTGCTATTCTTTGGGTTGCACACAGGCCATCTCCCTTGCCATTTTTTTTCCAGATACTGCAGTGACATTGATTAGGTCTAAGCCTTGGTGATGAGGACCGAGGTGGATGGAGAGGGATTATTGTCATGATTCTTGCTTTCATTTCAGTCCGTTCTTGATTTGATTTCTGCCATTTATTCCTCTCAGTTTTTACCTGGGCAGCATCATCTCCCACCTGCTTTTTAAGGTGAATGTTGACGGCTGATCTCATATATTAGTTGTGGCTTTCTTAAGAGGGACATGGCTCCCTTCATTCTTAAGCCTTTGGGGCTACTTTTTCTTTCACATTTGCTCATGATCTCCATTTGATCTGCAAGATGGCTCCTGTATGAGAGAGCAGAGCAAACATGTTATTCTCATTTCACAGATAAGAAAATGAGAGCCTAGTAAAATTATTTGCTCAAGATCATAGGAAAGTTAATGGCAAAGCCAAGAGTTGATCCTGGATCTTTTTGTACCTGAGACCAGTATCTTTTGCCATACTTTTCTTTATTTTGATAAATAATTAACATTTAAATGCATAATTTCCCCCTAAAATTTGGATTCTTTCTTAGGATAGATTCCCAAACATGGAATTGAGTTAAAGAGTATAAATGTGCTTTTTTTTTTCTTTTTTTTTTTTTTTTTTTTTAAATAAAAGGCTTTTAATACATTTGGCAGAATTGTTCAAGCAAGGCTATCACATGCATGTTTAAGCCAGGCAGGTATAACTAGTCATGTGCAGGGCAACCCAGGAGCCAGTGTGGTGGGAGAGGCTACGGCTGGTTCCCCCAGCCAGCACAGGCACTCATGAGCTTGTCACCAGCCTGGAGAGAGTCTCCTGTTGGGAGATGCACATTTTTGCCTGCACTCTGGGCCCTCCACCCAAACTGTATATTTCATCTGGTGCTCAACCACAAGCACAGCCATCTGTTTCAGTGCTGCAGAAACTATTGGCTGTGTTGGACTTCGCAAGAGATCCTATGTCAGTCTCCATCGTGAGATACTGGACTTTGTACATCACGATATACTGGACGTTCTAGATGATGGAAAGGATTCCAGAGATAATTTTAATTCTATGAGACCCTGGCTTCAAACTCCACTCTTGTGACCCTCACACGAGGTGTGACTCCACAGGGCTGGGGTGCCATGCTATTTTCACTGTACCCTTGTCCCCGTAATCTCAAATAATCTCAAAGCCTGGGTGGAACCCTTTCTAGTCTATGGATAGTGGCTTGTGATAAATGTCCTTTCAGGTCAACACAGTGCAGGCTGGCATCTTTACCCTTCTTTCACTGAAGTTAAGTGCTGCACCAGAACTAGCCTCAAAGGGCTCTGGGGGCTCCAGTTGTACCTTGTGCTATGTCAGCTATTACTTCATGTTAAACATTTGCATATGAATGTTTCATGACAGCTTGTCTCTTTCTTCTTACAGTTGGTCACCACAGAGCGGCGTTTCCTCACAGACCGTTTGTACAATGAAGGACTCCTAATTGTATGGGACCCATCTGTGTACCATTCGGATATCCCGAAGGTAAGTGGGTGTTCATGGGAAATAGGAGTTGAGTTTCAGGTCTGTCTACAGATTTTCCTGATTTCCTAGGTTTTTCAAGTCTTGGCTGTTATTAACTATCCCTAGAGGCTGAGTATTTGAGTTTTAGGGTACCCCATTTCACCTGGACTAGCAGATTCAGAAGTATTCCTGTCCTATGCCAGCTACTTTCCTTGCCCTGCCAGATATTGCCAGGTATTGTCTCCTAGTTATAGTATTTACAGGGGTAGTGGCTGGACTTCCCAACATCTGGGGTAGATTGTTCACTAACGCAATTATTCCCCACGAGCATCAGCAGAATTAGAGAGCAGGTGATGTTGCTCCTGTAAATAACGTGAGCACACTTCTGTTTCCCATTTCCAACATCCAGAATTCTTCCCATTTCACTCTCATAACAACGTAAGGGGATAGATGGAAGAGTGGTTGTTCCCATTTTACAGATAGGGAACTTGGAAGGTGGAGAATGAAAGTCCCTCATCCCAGCACTTGATTTACTAAGCAGAAGGTGCAGATCTGAAACAGCAGCTCTTCCCAGGGAAGCAGACATGAGTGGCAGGCCTGCTGGGTTCTAATCCCCCTGGAACAGTCCCCTCACTGTTATGCATGCCAGTTGACCTCTCCCTGACAGAGACTCCTGTGGCCTCAGGAGCATGACTTTAAGGAGGAAGGGCAGAGAGCACTAATCTTGGGACATGTAACTCTTAACTTGGATTTACCAGTACCTGACAGGCTCTGGTGACCCCTGGCACCTTCATTATCTGAGTTTCTACAGTTTCACACTGATCTCACTTAGAACTCAAATTTGCCTAGGTCAGGACAAGGACTCTGAACCCATAGATGTGGCAACCTATTCTCCAGTTTTCTCCCCTTTAAAAATGAGAGATGGGGCTAGATGGTACCTGGGGCTCCTTTCAGCTCTGATAGTGTTCCTGGGCAACATCATCTCCCACCTGCTTTTTCTTTTTCTATGCGTTCTTCTGTTTTCTAAAAACACTAATAGCTGTTTTTAGAAGCTTAAAGCCAATCTTGGTTCACTAAGGTCAACACTCCCCAAAAGCACAGGCTACATGCTGGGCCTTACACTGCTATCCAGTGAAAGCTGTGAGTGGAAGTGAATGAAGCCTGGTAGTCTGCTGCAAGAAAAGGGCTGTGCCCCTGGAGAAACCCTTGTTGGTCCTTTCCCCTCCCCCAGCCCACTGCTGAGGATGACTCCTATGGGGAGCAGCTCACTGGCCCATTTCTCCCTTGAGAGGACCATTTCTTTCTTTTTCAGTGGTACCAGAATCCGGATTATAATTTCTTTAATAACTACAAGAGTTATCGTAAGCTGCACCCCAATCAGCCCTTTTACATCCTCAAACCCCAGATGCCTTGGGAGCTATGGGACATTCTGCAGGAAATCTCCCCAGAAGAGATTCAGCCAAATCCCCCATCCTCTGGGATGCTCGGTGAGTTCATGTCAGGGAAAAGAGCTTGCATGTTTGTTTCTAGAAGAGATGAGCCTTTTTTCTGGGGTCTCATTCATTCACTTATACATTCATTCATTTGTGCACTAAACAATTGCTAGGATTTTGCTTTGCTTGTCCACTGTGCCAAGTTCTATTTAAAATACAGAGGTAAGTAAGATAGAATTCTTTTTCCTGAAGATATCTATTGGGGGAGTTCAATCAGATGTCTGAGGCAATATTCAATTTGTGCCAGGAGGGAGAGACAACCTGGTGACAACCTTCTCACTGGACAGTCACATATAGCCTCATGGAGGAAGTCATGTTGGGTAGGCTTTTGAGAGGGGAAAATTTAGCAGAGGAAGATGGAGGGAAAGAAAACCATGAACAGGGGAGGGAGGGAGGTGGGAAAACATGAGGAGTGGGACTGCCCCTCGATGAAGGCAGCAAGACACTTTTCTCAGGTGTACAATTTAAGGGGGTACCCCAAAACTCAGCCATCAAGATAAATAATATTTTAATACAGTATCTTCAAAAATCACAATTAATATGAAAATTATGATGAATGAAATATCAACTATTTAAATCAAGATAGGATCAGTAGGATCAGGATCCAAGATGGCCGATTAGGAGTAGTTCAGGACTGCAGCTCCCAGTGAAAGCATGGAGGGTGTAAGTGGACATCGCATTTCCAGACGGATTTTTATTGCCCACAGACCAGGAGATTTTCAGGCGAAGGAGCCCCATGGGTCACCAGCATGGCTGTTTTGGCTGGCGCAGCGGGTCTCCACACAAGATACACAGGTCCAGGTGCAGTTTTAGCTGGTGATTGGAGCTTCTGGGAGACAAAGTTGTCCATTCAACTGATAAAAGGGGACTGAAACAGGGAGCCAGGCCAGGAGATTCTCAGGCAAAAAAGCACCATGAGTCCCCAGTGCGGCTGTTTCAGCTGGTGCAGTGGGTCTATGCACAAGAAATCACACAAATCTGGGTGCTGTTTCAACTGGTGACTGGGATGCCTGGGAGAGTTGCCATTCAACTGAAGAAAAAAGGGGGTCTGAGGCAGGGAGCCAGGTGATCAGGCTCGGCTGGTACCACCCCCACAAAAAAACAGCAATCTGAGACGCTCTGGATTGAGAGTTTCACAGCAAGCACAGCTGAACCTGGGACGGTCCAGCTTTGTGGGGGAGGAGCATCCACCATTATCGAGGCAGCCCACCATTGCCAAGGCAGTCTGCCATTACAGAGGTGGGCCGCCATTGCCGAGGCAGTTCTAACTATACCCCTATAAACAAGACTGCAGGGAAGTTCACACAGCAGCTGGGCGGAGCCCACAGCAGCTCAGCAAAGCCTCTGGAGGCAGACTGTGAGTAGGCTGCCTCCTCGCTGGGCAGGGCAGCCCTGAAAAAAGTTTGCAGCACTACAGAAACTTATAAATAAAGCCCTAACTCCCCAGGACAGAGCACCTGGGGAAAAAAATGGTGTTTATGAGTTCTGCTGCAGCAGACTTAAACATACCTGCCCAGCAGCTCTGAATGGAACAACGGAGCTTACAGCTCAGCACTTGAGCTCCTATAAAGGACAGACTATCTCCTCAAACAGCTCTCTGACCTCCGTATATCCAAAGAGTCACCTCATAAAGGAGAAGTCAGACTGACATCTGGTGGGCATCCTTCTGGGACAAAGATAGCAGAAGAAGAAACTGGCAGCAACCCTTACTGTTCTGCAGCTGCTGCAGGTGATCCCCAGCCAAGCAGGGCCTGGAGTGGACCTCAGCAGTCCTACAGCAGAGGGGACTGACTGTTAGAAGGAAAACTAAGAAACAGAAAGAAATAACTTCATCAATAACAAACTGGACATCTACTTAGAGACCCCATCTGAAAGTCGACAACTACAAAGATGATGGGTAGATAAATCTACAAAGATGGGAAGAAACCAGTGCAAAAAGGATGAAAACACCCAAATCAGAATGCCTCTCCTCCTCCAAGGGATCACAACTCCTCACCAGCAAGGGAACAAGGCTGGATGGAGAATAAGTGTGATGAATTGACAGAAACAGGCTTCAGAAGGTGGGTAATAAGAAACTTCTCTGAGCTAAAAGAACATTCTAACCCAATGCAAGGAAACTAAGAACTTGAAAAAAGATTTCATGAAATGCTAATGAGAATAAACAGCTGAGAGAGGAATATAAGTGAATTGATGGAGCTGAAAAACACAACACAAGAACTTCACGAAGCATACACCAGTTTTAGCAGCCAAATTGACCAAGCAGAAGAAAGGATATCAGAGATTGAACATCAACTCAATGAAATAAAATGAGAAGGCAAGATTAGAGAAAAAAGAGTAAAAAGAAATGAACAACATCTCCAAGAAATATGAGACCATGTGAAAAGACCTAATCTACATTTGATAGGTGTACCTGAATGTGACGGAGAGAATGAATCCAAGCTGGATAATACTCTTCAGGATATTATCCAGGAAAACTTCCCCAATCTAGCAAGGCAGGCCAATGTTTAATTCCAGGAAATACAGAGAATACCACAAAGATATTCCTCAAGAAGAGCAACCCCAAGGCACATAATCATCAGATTCATCAGAGTTGAAATGAAGGAGAAAATGCTAAGGGCAGCCAGAAAGAAAGGTCAGGTTACCTACAAAGGGAAGCCTATTAGACTCACAGCAGATCTCTCAGCAGAAACCCTACAAGCCAGAAGAGAGTGGGGCCCAATATTCAACATCCTTAAAGAAACAAACTTTCAACCCAGAATTTCATATCCAGCCAAATTAAGCTTCATAAGTGAAGGAGAAATAAAATCCTTTATGAACAAGCAATTACTCAGATTTCATCACCACCAGGCCTGCTTTACAAGAGCTCCTGAAAGAAGCACTAAACACAGAAAGAAACAACTAGTACCAGCCACTGCAAAAACATACCAAATGGTAAAGAGCACTGACACAATGAAGAAACGGCATCAACTGACAGGCAAAACAGCCGGCTAGCATCAAAATGGCAGGATCAAATTCACACATAACAATATTAACCCGAAATGTAAATGGGTTAACCTTCCCAATCAAAAGACACAGACTGGTAAGTTGGATAAAGAGCAAAACCCATCAGTGTGCTGTATCCAGGAAACCCATCTCACATGCAAGGATACACAAAGGCTCAAAATAAAGGGATGGAGGAAGATTTACCAAGCAAATAGAGAGAGAGAGAAAAAAAGCAGGAGTTGCAATTCTAGTCACTGATAAAACAGACTTTAAACCAACAAAGATCAAAAGAGACAAAGAAGGACATTACATAATGGTAAAAGGATCAATGCAACAAGACGAGCTAACTATCCTAAATATATATGCACCCAATACAGGAGCACCCAGATACATAAAGCAAGTTGTTAATGACCTACAAAGAATGTAGATTCCCACACAATAATAGTGGGAGACTTCAACACCCCACTGTCAATATTAGACAGATCAATGAGACAGAAAATTAACAAGGATATTCAGGACTTGAACTCAGCCTTGGACCAAGGAAATGTAATAGACATTTACAGAACTCTCCACTCCAAATCCACAGAATATACATTCTTCTCAGCACCACATCACATCTACTCTAAAATTGACCACATAATTAGAAGTAAATCACTCCTCAGCATATGCAAAAGAACGAAAATCATAACAGTCTCTCAGACCACAGTGCAATCAAATTAGAACTCAGGATTAAGAAACGAACTCAGAATCGCACAGCTTCATGGAAACTGAACAACTGGCTCTTGTGTTGACTGGATAAACAATGAAATGAAGGTAGAAATAAAGACGTTTTTTGAAACCAACGAGAATGAAGACACAACATACCAGAATCTCTGGGACACATTTAAAGCACCATCTAGAGGAAAATATATAGCAATAAATGCCCACATGAGAAGCAAGGAAAGATCTAAAATCAATACCCTATCGTCAAAACCAAAAAAGTTAGAGGAGTAAGATTAAAAAAAAAAAAACTAGAAACCTAGCACAAGGCAAGAAATAACTAAGATCAGAGCAGAACTGAGGAGATAGAGACACAAAAAACCCTTCAAAAAATCAATAAATCTAGGAGCTGGTTTTTCGAAAAGATCAACAAAATAGACCACTAGCCAGATTCATAAAAAAAGAGAGAATTATCAAATAGATGCAATAAAAAATGACAAAGGGGATATCACCACAGATTCCACAGATATCATCAGAGATTATTAAAACAACTCTATGTACATAAACCATCCAAACCATCAACAGAGATTATTACAAACAACTCTATGCACATAAACTAGTAAACCTGAAAGAAGTGGATAAATTCCTGGACACTTGCATCCTCCCAAGCCTAAACCAGGAAGAAGTCAAAACCCTGAATAGACCAATAACAAGTGCTGAAGTTGAGGCAGTAATTAATAGCCAACCACACAAAAAAAGCCCAGGTCCAGATGGGTTCACAGCCGAATTCTACCAGACATATGAAGAGGAGCTGGTACCATTCCTTCTGAAACTATTCCAAATAATCCAAAAAGAGGGAATTCTTCCCAAATCATTTTATGAGACCGACATCATCCTGATACCAAAACCCGGCAGAGACTCAACAAGAAAAGAAAACTTCAGGCCAATATCCATAATGAACATAGATGCAAAAATCTTCATTAAAATACTGGCAAACCAATTGCAACAGCACATGAAAAAGCTTATCCACCATGATCAAGTAGGCTTCATCCCAGGGATGCAAGGCTGGTTCAACATATGCAAGTCTATAAATGTAATTCACCACATAAACAGAAGCAAAGACAAAAACCACATGACTATCTCAATAGATGCAGAGAAGGCCTTTGACAAAATTCAACAGTGCTTTATGCTAAAAACCCTCAATAAACTAGGTATTGATGGAACATATCTCAAAATAGTAAAAGCTATTTATGACAAACCAACAGCCAATATCATACTGAATGGACAAAAACTGGAAGCATTCCCTTTGAAATCTGGCACTAGACAAGGATGCCCTCTCTCACCACTCGTATTCAATATATTATTGGAATTTCTAACCAGAGCAATCAGGCAAGAAAAAGAAATAAAGGATATTCAATTAGGAAAGGTGGAAGTCAAATTGTCTCTATTTGCAGACGACATGACTGTATATTTAGAAGATTCCATTGTCTCAGCCCAAAATCTCCTGGAACTGATAAGCAACTTCAGCAAAGTCTCAGGATACAAAATCAATGTGCAAAAATCACAAGCATTCTTATACACCAATAACAGATGTGAAGAGAGCCAAATCAAAAATGAACTGCCATTCACAATTGCTACAAAGAGAATAAAATACCTTGGAATACAACTAACAAGGAACATAAAGAACCTCTTCAAGGAGATCTACAAACCACTGCTCAACCAAATAAGAGAGGACACAAACAGATGGAGAAACATTCCATGCTCATGGTTCGAAGAATCAATATCGTGAAAATGGCCATACTGCCCAAAGTAATTTACAGATTCAACACTATCCCCATCAAGCTACCAATGACCTTCTTCACAAAACTGGAGAAAACCACCTTAAACTTCATATGAAACCAAAAGAGAGCCTGTATTGCCAAGTCAATTCTAAGCAGAAAGAACAAAGCTGGAGGCATCACACTACCAGACTTCAAACTATACTACAAGGCTACAGTAATCAAAACAGCATGGTACTGATACCAAAACAGAGATATAGACCAATGGAACAGAACAGAGGCCTTAAAGGCAACACCACACATCTAGAACCATCTGATCTTTGACAAATCTGACAAAAATAAGCAATGGGGAAAGGATTCCCTGTTTAATAAGTAGTATTGGGGAAACTGGCTAGCCATGTGCAGAAAGCAGAAACTGGACCCCTTCCTGACACCTTACCCTAAAGTTAACTCCAGATGGATTAAAGACTTAAACATAAGACCTAATACCATAAAAACCCTAGAAGAAAATCTATGCAATATCATTCAGGACATAGGATTAGTCAAGGACTTCATGACCAAAACACCAAAAGCATTGGCAACAAAAGCCAAAATAGACAAATGGGACCTAATCAAACTCCAGAGCTCTGTACAGCAAATGAAATAGTCATTAGGGTGAATCGGCAACCAACAGAATGGGAAAAAATTTTTGCAATCTACCCATCTTACAAAGGGCTAATATCCAGAATCTACAAAAACTAAAACAGATTTATAAGAAAAAAACAAACAAGCCCATTCAAAAGTGGGCGAAGGATATGAACAGACACTTTACAAAAGAAGATATACATGAGGCCAACAAACATATAAAAAAATGCTCAGCATCAGTGGTAATTAGAGAAATGCAAATCAAAACTACATTAAGATACCATCTCATGCCATTTAGAATGGGGATCAGTAAAAAATCTGGAGACAACAGATGCTGCAGAGGATGTGGAGAAATCGCAACACTTTTACACTGTTGGTGGGAGTGTAAATTAGTTCAACCATTGTGGAAGACAGTGTGGTGATTCCTCAAGGACCTAGAAATAGAAATTTCATTTGACCCAGCAATCCTATTACTGGGTATATATCCAAAGGACTATAAATCTTTCTACTATAAGGACACATGCACATGAATGTTCATTGCAGCACTGTTTACAATAGCAAAGACTTGGAACCAACCAAAATTTCCATCGATGATAGACTGGACAGGGAAAATATGGCACATATACACCATGGAATACTATGCAGCCATAAAAAACAATGAGTTCGTGTCCCTTGTAGGGACATGGATGAACCTGGAAACTATCATTCTCAGCAAACTGACACAAGAACAGAAAATCAAACACTGCATGTTCTCACTCATTGGTGGGTTTTGAACAATGAGAACACATGGACACAGGGAGGGGAGCATGACACACTGGGGTCATGCACATGCAGAAATAGGGGAGGGACATTGGGGGGCTGGGGCATTGGGGAGAGAGAGCATGGGGAGAAATGCCCCATACAGGTGATGGGGAGGAAGGCAGCAAATCACACTGCCATGTGTTTACCTATGCAACAATCTTGCATGTTCTTCACATGTACCCCACAACCTAAAACAAAACAAAAAAACAATTAAAACAAAACAAAAAAAGGATCAGTAACAGTGCTGTGCAGAGTTTATTGGAACAATGCTGGCCAGTGGTCCTCTTCTTGGATTTTCTCCACACCTCATGGTCTGTCTGCTCTTCCCCTCTTTTCTCCTTGAATTGAGCTGGACCACTAAGCAATTTTTAATGAGGCTCTAGGATCTGCATAAGCAGAAGTTAACCACCCCGCCCTCTCCCTCAACACGCAGTGGGCCCCTTTTCCACTGAATGGCTGTTTTGAAAAAAACTCTTTGAGTTTCTCAATGAACTTAACTGGTAGCTACCATCTCCAGCAGCCTGTGGGGGTTCCTTTAGGGCAGCCTTACTGTCAGGGGTTGGATTGTGGGAACAGTTTCAATGACACAATCAGAATGTGAGAGTGTAAGAGGTTTTTATTACTTACAGATTCTCAAGCTGGGCAGGGCGATCAGAGAGGGGCAGACAGCAGTTCTCTGTCCAGAGGCTCATGGTAGCAAAAGCAATGTAGGCATGAAGGGGAGGGCTTCCCCTGTTTAAGGGTCACCTAGGGTGGCGTGTCCTAATTTCACCAGGTACTTTAAATAGCAGGTTGGCTCAAAGCTGGATTTAAAACAGGGGGCTCCATGGAGGGACTTCTGTCTACATTAGTCAGCCTTGGCTGGACCTAGGCATCAAGCAACTACGATTTCTCCATTACTTCAGTCAATGGCCCCAGCCACTCACCACTGTGTCACTTGTCTGCCTACCTCCCCTACTAGACTGCAGGCTCCTTTGGGGTGGGAACTATTGTGTCTTCTCTTTGAGTCTAACATGGGATAGCCCTTTGGTAAATGTTCCCTGAGTAAGTGAATAAATATGTGTTTAATATGAGAGGCACTCCTTTATAGAGAGATTGGGGTTCTTAACCATATCACATCTCCTTCATACCTTTTTCTTTCACTTTTGGTTGGGTACATTTGGGGCTCTTCTTGGAGCCCTGTTGAGCAGGAGTCATTGGCATTTTGGGAGACACAGCTTCCCACTGCCCTGTCCTGTTACCTTTACCACCAGTCCTCCCCTTTGCCCATCTTCATGGCCACTGCCCCTTCCACATCCCACAGCAGTGCTTCTGGGAGGTTTACTTGTCTTCTCCTGTGGGAAGTGCTCCTTCTCATAATCCCAGGAGCACTTCTGCGCCTTAATCATTTAGTTGCAGAGCTTTCTTTTCTCTCCCATTCAACCAGCAGCAGCCAGAGGGCAGAGGCAAGGTTTATCTCATCTCTAATTCTTTTGGAACAAAGTTGCTGCTGGCAGTTTTGCTTTCAGTAAGAACTACCCTATTATAAAGATTCCATATTTATGGTATACAAAGGGGGTTTTAGAAACATGATCTTATTTAATCTTAACAGTGACCTGTGCAGTAGGAGCACTGGGTGGATCATTCCCTTGGAACAGATGAAGAATCTGAGGCCCAAAGAGGGGATGTGTCCTGCCTAAGATGACTCAGCCAGTTGGGGACAAGCATGGTGGCAGCATGAGTCTTCTGCTTCCTGCTAGAGCCTGAATCCCAGAGTTCTGCACAGCCTCCCTGAAGAGCACCAACATCTTAGGCTCTAATTGCTCTGCCTGAATGAGTAGAGTCCATCAGTACAGACTGTGGAGTGCTCTTGTTCCAGTTGTCCTTTCTCCCAGCTAAGGGAAGAAAAGTCTTCTCTCCCCAACACTGTTTCATGCAAGTGCTATAAGGAATAGTCTGCTCCCAAATTGCATCATCCAAGAGGCTCTCCAGGATGTCACAGTGCTAGAAAGTGCTAATTATATATGATGGCACTGTCTCCTCAATCAGCTCAGTAACCTTGTCCTCTTTCTTCAAATAAATTATTCCATGGATACATTCATTGGCTGATTGATGGAGTAATTTAATCTACTAGCATTTCGGGAGGCTCTGTTATTCACCAGGCCCTGGCCTAGGTGCTGGGGATTCAAAGGTACATAACGCTCATACAGCCCTGCATCCTAAGGAACACTGCTGGGCTTGGCTTGTTGAAACTTGGATTGGGAATCACAGACATAAATAAAAATTCCAGAGGGGAACCTCTCCATATTCGGGGTTATGAGCTTCTGGACCCTGGGCAGAGCTCTGGCATTTTGGCATTTTGGGAGACAATGCTGGGGCTGTCGGGCATGACTCACCTCTGCTCCCCTCTCCAGGTATCATCATTATGATGACATTGTGTGACCAGGTGGATATTTACGAGTTCCTTCCATCAAAGCGCAGGACCGACGTGTGCTACTACTACCAGAAGTTCTTTGATACTGCTTGCACGATGGGCGCCTACCACCCGCTGCTCTATGAGAAGAATTTGGTGAAGCATCTCAACAAGGGCACAGATGAGGATATCTACCTGTTTGGAAAGACCACACTGCCTGGCTTCCGGACCATTCACTGCTAAGCACAGCCTTCTCACTCTTCTCCATCAGGCACTGAATGGATGGTCTTTGGCCACCTCAGCCTGGGAAGACCATTTACCTGAACAATTCCAGCCTGCTCCTTTTACTCTAGGGGCCTCTGTCAGCAAGAGCACTGGGGCTTCAGGAGCCTGTGATCAAGAAATCAGGTCCAGCCTTCCCTGTGGCCAGTTTATGAGCCCAGAGCCTCCTCCCACACACATGCACACATACCTAGCATTCTTTCCAGACAGCATCCCCCCCACCTTCCACCGTGGTAGATGCAAAGTCTACCTCTCCCATCAGGGATGCCAAAGCTGGGCTTCATTTTTCCCAACAGAATTATGCCATTCTCACAGACTAATGCTCTATATTGCTTGAAATCTGCATCTAAATATTGATTTCATGTTTTAAAGAAATTCTCCCAAATTACAATTGTGCCCAATGCAGGGTGGCTCTGGGGGGCAGGTAGGTGGTACAGGGGATTGGAAACATGCTCAACTCCTTCAGAACAAAGTTGCTCCCAAGGTCCATGCCCCTGGAACATGTTCCTATCACTCTGGCTGGTTGGGCTGGTCCTTAGACTGGGTGCTTGTGAGCAAAGTGTCTTGACTAGTCCTCTTTCTCTCCATGTAGAGATGGAAGCTACGGAAGGATACAGTCTCTGTCCTCAAGTTGCTCCCGTTCAGTGAGAGAGACAGACATCTGAACAGGCAGGTAGGATTCAGTGTGCTCAGCGCACTGGGGACTGGTAGAGAGATGAGCTTGCTCTCTGAGCACCCAGGAGGGCCACACACTTACACTGTGTTTGTGGATCAGAGAAGACCTTGTAATACCAGGGGCATTCAAATGAGTCTTAGAGGGAGAGAAGAAGCTTGGCAAGCAGATTACATCTGAGTCATTTGAGTTGTGTTTTTTTCTTCCCATATTTACTCTCTAAGATCTACCTAAACTTAGAGACTCAAGAAATTTTTTTGAGGAAACCTCCTACCCACGTCTGAGGTAACAAAATGCAGCCTCACGACAGATACCAGGTAATCCAGATCCCCAAAACCTGATTTCTTCAGGCTCGGCCGGGCCTGACCCTATCCTACCAGCTGGGTTTGCACACCATACTCCCACTCTTCCTTTTTAATACCTACCCCCAAATCTCCTCCTAACCACCATCTGTTTTTTTTTTTCCTTTTCAAATCATCTTCCCCTCCCAAATTTCTTTTAAGCATTTTTTTTTTGCTTTAAAAGCATTGTGACCCCAATTTATTTGAGCTCATGGGCCTTTGCATGTCTCTCAGGGAGTAGTGGTGTGGCTCCCCAGACTTATGTCACCCTCAGAGGTCAGAACCCTGGAGATTGTAACTGATTCTCATCAGGTGTGAGAAATGTGATATCAGATTGCAATGCCCTGCACTACTTCTTTGCAAGAAAGCAACATCAGGGGATCTGGGCAGAGGCTGGCCCACTGAGGTTTGCAAACATGCTCTCCAGATGGTTTTCCTAAGTCCCCTCTCCCTGATAGGAAATCATACTGGACCCATGCAGTCTCTGGTGTGGAGCAGTTAAAAGACTTGCACAAAATCACCAAGTCATACTGTAGAGCCAGGATTCCTACACCCAGGCCTCTGGACTCTCAAGTCTGGCCCCATGTGCTCAAGGGGATCTAATGTTTGGGCTCCACACCAACCATCTTGGAGCTGGGATCCTCACTTACTACCAAACCCTCAGCTTATATAGCTAGAAAGGCCTTGATTTTCGAATTGATGCTCCCCTACTGACTAGCTATGCCACTCTGGGCAAATGCTCTTTCTTGAGCCTCTGTTTTCACATTTGTAAAGTGGGGATGATGATCCTATCTCACAGTGCTGTGGTGAGGGTGACAGGAAAGCACCTGTCCTGGCTCTGCACCTGGCACATAGTAGGTGCTCAGTACATGCAGGTTTCCTTCCTGCCTTCAGTAGGGACCTGCTCTGTGTTCACACCTGAGCTGCATGCACCCTGCTGTGACTGAGGCTAGCGGGGAAGAGGTCCTGTCCTCAGGGAATTAACTGTCATATTGGGAGATAACAACAACCCTCCTTGGAACACCCAAGAAACCATGCAAAGCAGTGGACAGCACAGAACATGCCCCTCCTCCTCGCTGCCCGCAGCTCCAGTCTGACTCTGCTTAGGATGGGCAGAGCACGTGGGCTGCTTCACTGCTGTATAGGACAAGTCCTTTACCCCTCTCTGGGCCCGTGAACTCCTGGCTTGGTTTATGTTCTCATATGACATGCTGATTTTAATCTTCGAATCATGACCACTGAGTGCCGAGGAGGTACCATTCTGACAGCTGGACATCCATGTTGGTGTGGAGACTGAGATGACACTGGGTAGAATCTAGTTTTTAATTATTAATATGAAGGATTGAATTAATTTAAATATAATTCTGAAGTCTACAGAACTTTTAGTTCTGTGCTATCTATATGTGGACACTTTGGTAAAATGCAGATTTGAGATGGATGTTATTGATGGTCTGGTGAGATGTTTCATATTTTTGACAGTTAATTTAAAAATTATGACTGAATGCTTCCTCTGTCTATGGGATTCTGTCTTCTTTGATAGCCATTTATTCATCTGCATCATGGGGCCCTCTCTAATCCTTCCACCAATCAAATAAGCTATTGCTATTGGTTTAGAGTTGAGACATCAGTCTCAGAAACCTCTGAAACATGCCTAAGCTAATTCTGAATTACACAAGGATTATGTCAAATTTTAAAATAAATGTGTGTGTGTGTTTTTAAAGCTGTTTCTCTCTTCTTACTTGCTAAGGGAACACCTGCTGATTGCCAAATTTTGTCTCCAAAGAGGACACAACTGAGATCCTGAACCCCCCCAATCCTTAGCCACTAGTCCTCTAGCCTTAGACTTATACTTCTGTACTCCAGGAAAATAAATGTGTACTTTATTGAAAGAATCACCTCTTTGAAATATTACTGATTTTGGTGGTGGGTTTTTTTTTTTTTTTGCTTTTTCTTGGATTCACATAACTAACCGGTTGCATCAAAGGAGGGATGGAGTTGGGCAGAAAGCAATATAAGGAAGATCCTTCCCTTGGTTTCCAAAACTCTAAATTCCTTAAATGAATGATGTCTTAAAAGGAAAGCTAAAATGTCGGGACACAAATCCTCAGGAGGAGGAGCATGAGTTAAGGGAGAGAGGACAATTCTTTTCTCCTGTGAACTGCCCATCCCCTTGTTACAGGTTGACTTGTGTCCCCCGCAAGATTCAGATGTCGGAAGTCCTAACCTCCAGTACCACAAAATAATGACCTTATTTGTAATTAGTTAAGATGAGGTCATATTGGAATAGGTTAGGCCCCTATTCCAGTATGGCTGGTGTCCTTTAGAAATGTGGAAATTTGGAAGCAGACATATATACAGGGAGAATGCCATGAAGGCTGAAATCACAGATAGCACTCACCTGCAACCTCCACTCCCACCCCATTAGTAGGGTTCTCCCCACTGACAAAGCCTGACTCTCAGTGTCTTAGATACTGTTCTTAGAGAGGGCTTCATGCCCTGGCAGTGTGCTGAACCTGTACCAGTGCCTGGCCTCTAGAGCCCTGAGCAAGATGAGGAGAAGGGACACACAGGACTCGGAGAGTGCCATCTCCTCCCTAGTCCCAGATCCTCCTCTGGGTGCTTGGTTTCCACTTCCTTTGTGACTCCCTGTGCAGCCCTCAGGGATGTGTTGTAAGGATGTGATGGAGAGTGCACTGTGACTCTAATGGCACCTTCCCCTCTCACTTGGGGCAGGAACACTGGCTCAGGAAACTCATACTATGGGATGGGATAATGTAATCAGCTCAGGAGAGAGGCAAAGGCCTTCTCAGTACTCCTGAAATCCCACTGTCCAAAGCATTGGTGTCTCCATCCAGATGTTCTCAGGATGAATTAGAAAACAAGTTTATAATGGGAAGAATTATTCTCTTTGGTCTGTTTAATGTGACTACACGTTAAACAGCCACCATGTGCCTGACACTGGGAACAGGATGAAAACCCACAGCACCTGCCTTTCAAAGAAATGGAGGGCTAAAAGAATGGGCCTGCCCTGCCTGTGGATAGGTATTGTCATGCTAATGTGAGATTAGTGATGTTATTTTCTGGAAAGCTAAGCCTGGATAACACTGCTATTGTTAAACACACATTCATAACTGCTTAGGAGAAAAATAGTGTGTGCAAATGCCAAATACAGAGACATGATAATACAAGGTAAGGTAAAACAATGATGTTATAGAGGAAACATTTATTTTAACATGGAGATTTGGGGAGTCTTGAGGATGGGCAGTGTCAAAAGAACACAAAATTTTAAAAAGAGAAAAAGAACCATGTTCTACATCCTAAGATCCCAAGGTAATTTCTACCAGCAGTTTCCAGTTCTACTTTAAAATACAATATTTTTATACAAATGAGAACACATCCTTTTTATTTAAAAAATACATCATAAAAATGATTCTGGATCATTAAGGAACTTTTCAAAAATAGGCTTTGTAATGGTCGACTGATATTCTATCATAAGGATGTGTTATAATTTTCACACAACTTGTTCCTAGAGGTGGGCATGCAGCTTATTTACATTTGTTTTCTCCAAAATAACCAAATATATAAGCACATGTTCTCATCTCTGATTGTATCCTGAGGTGGGAAATAGGTTTAAGGGGTGGGATGAGTACTATTTTCCCCTCAGGAAATGTGGCTGGGAGACTCAGAATCATATTAGGGGAACTTCTGGAACAGTCTTAGAGAACTGGAAAAAGACCAGGTAATAAATTGATGGCAGATATTTCAAGATAGCTGAATAGGAACAGCTCTGGAGTGCAGTTCCCAGCAAGAAGAATACAAAAGGTGAGTGATCACTGCATTTCCAAATGAGTTTTTACTGTCCGCAGACCAGGAGATTCTTGAGCTGAAAAGTGCCATGAGTTTCCAGCATGGCTGTTTCAGCCAGTACTACGGTTCTCTGCACAAACACTTGCACAAATCCAGGTGGCCATTTCAACAGGTGCCTGGAATACCTGGGATACAGAGCTGCCCATTCAACTGAAGAAAAGGGGGCTGAAACAGGGAGTCAGGTGATCTGGCTCAGTGGGTCCCACCACCTACAAAGTCCAGCAATCTGAAATGCTCTGGATTGAGAGTTTTGCAGCAAGTGCAGCTGGACCCGGGACAGTCCAGCTCAGTGTGGGGGTGAGCGTCAGCCATTACCGAGGCAGTCCACTACTACAGAGGCATTTCACCATTACTGAGGCAGTCCGCCATTACTGAGGCAGTCCACCATTACTGAGGCAGACCACCATTACTGAGACACTTCTAACAGGAAGTTCACAAAACAGCTGGGCAAAGCATACAGCAGCTCAGTAACGCCTCTGCTGGCTGACTGTGGCTAGACTACCACCGTGCTGGCAGGGCATCTGAAAAAAGGCAGCAGTACATCAGGAACTTTTAAATAAAGCCCCACCTTCCTAGGACAGAGCACCTGGGGCAAAAGGTGTTTAGGAATTCCACAGCAGCAGACTTAAACGTATCTGCCCAGAAGCTCTGAATGGAACAATGGAGCTCCCAGCTCAGCATTTGAGCTGAGACATACTGTCTCCTTAAGCAGCTCTCTGACCCCTATGTATCCAAAGAGACACCTCATAAAGGAGAGCTCAGGCTGACATCTGGCGGGTACCCTTCTGGGACAAAGATAACAGAATAAGAAACTGGCAGCAACCCTTACTGTTCTGCAGCCCCTTTGGGTGATCCCCAGGAAAGCAGGGTCTGGAGTGGACCTACACCAGGCCTACAGCAGAGAGGCCTGATGGTTAGAAGGAAAACTAAAAAACAGAAATAACTTCAACATCCACAAAAAGGACATCCACTCAGAGACCCCATCCAAAAGTCACCAATGACAAAGACCACAGGTAATATGGGAAGAAACCAGGACAAAAAGGATGAAAACATCAAAAGCTAGAATGCCTCCTCCTCCAAGGGATCACAACTCCACACCAGGAAGGGAACAAAGCTGGATGGAGAATGAGTCTAATGAATTGACAGAAACAGGCTTCAGAAAGTGGGTAATAACAAACCTCTCTGAGCTAAAAGAACATGTTCTAACCCAATGCAAAGAAACTAAGAATCCTGAAAAAAGGTTAGATGAAATGTTAACAAGAATAAACAGCTTAGAGAAGAATACAAATGAACTGATGGAGCTGAAAAACACAAGAGAACTTTGCAAAGCATACACAAGTTTGAATAGCTGAATCAACCAAGCAGAAGAAAGGATGTCAGAGATTGATGATCCAATCAATGAAATAAATGAGAAGGCAAGACTACAGAAAAAAGAGCAAAAAGAAATGAACAAAGCCTCCAAGAAATATGGGATTATGTGAAATGACCTAATCTACATTTGATAGGTGTACCTGAATGTGAGGGAGAGAATGAATTCAAGATGGAAAACAGTCTTCAGGGTATTATCCAGGAAAACTTCCCCAACCTAGCAAGGCAGGCCAATATTCAAGTCCAGGAAATACAGAGAACACCACAAAGATATTCCTATTCCTCAACAAGAGCAACCAAAAGGTACATAATAGTCAGATTCACTGGGGTTGAAATGAAGGGAAAAAATGCTAAGAGCAGCCAGAGAGAAAGGTTGGGTTACCCACAAAGGGAAACCCATCAGACTCACAGCAGATCTCTTGGCAGAAACCCTACAAGCCAGAAGGGAGTGCGGGCCAATATTCAACATCCTTAAAGAAAAGAACTATCAACCTAGAATTTCATATCCAGCCAAACTAAGCTTCATAAGTGAAGGAGAAATAAAATCCTTTATGAATATGGAATTGCTGAGAAATTTCATCACCACCAGGCCTGGCTTACAAGAGCTCCTGAAAGAAGCACTAAACATAGAAAGGAACACCAGTACCAGCCAATCCAAAAGCACACCAAATGGTAAACACCATCGACACAATGAAGAAACTGCATCAACTAACAGGCAAGACAACCAGCTAGCATCAAAATGGCAGGATCAAATATACACATAACAATATTAACCTTAAATGTAAATGGGCTAAATGCCCCAGTCAAAAGACACAGACTGGCAAGTTGGATAAAAAGTAAAAAACCATCAGTGTGCTGTATTCAGGAAACCCATCTCACATGCAAGGACACACATAGGCTTAAAATAAAGGGATGGAGGAAGATTTACCAAGCAAATGGAGAGAGCAAAAAAAAAGCAGGAGTTGCAATCCTAGTCACTGATAAAATAGACTTTAAACCAACAAAGATCAAAAGAGACAAAGAAGGGCATTACATAATGGTAAAAGGATCAATGCAACAGGAAGAGCTAACTATCCTAAATATATATGCACCCAATACAGGAACACTCAGATACATAAAGCAAGTTCTTAATGACTACAAAGAGACTTAGACTCCCACACAATAATAGTGGGAGACTTCAACACTCCACTGTCAATATTAGACAGATCAATGAGGCAGAAAATTAACAGGGATATCCAGGACTTGAACTCAGACCTGAATGAAGCAAACCTAATAGACATCTACAGAACTCTCCACCCCAAATCCACAGAGTATACATTCTTCTCAGTATTGCATCACACCTACTCTAAAATTGACCACATAATTGGAAGTAAATCACTCCTCAGCAAATGCAAAAGAACGGAAATCATAACAAACAGTCTCTCAGACCACAGTGCAATCAAATTAGAATTTAGGATTAAGAAACTAACTCAGAATTGCACAGCT